CTAACGACAGACTTCACAGCGGAAAAAACAGGATAATTTAGGATCTCTTCCTAGTAAGAAAACCAAGGGAAACCGATAGCTGGACCACTGTTTTGTCTCCATCTGGGTGAATTCACCCCAACGTGCAGGAATTCGCTGGTACGAGACAGTACTGTTACTTTCTTAGTGCGTGAAATCAACCTGCCTTTATTTTGAGTTAAGTAAGTGCCGAGTACATGGAGGGTACAAGGGCCATCGTGAGCACAGCAGCGTGAGGAAGAGAATGAGGAGAATGGATGAAGCACCACAATGGCTTGTTCGCTGAAGCCCTGTGGCTAAAAAGCAGGGTCATGTCCCCGAATACAAGGCAAGCACTAGATAAGGACACGGCTCCTTCGGGGAGCTGAAGGATGACGCATTTTCCATTCACTTAGGTGCTAGGTCAGCCTTTCTGAACCAGATTTCCTTTCTACCCACGCTGTGTTTGGCACTGTCTTACTGAATGAATTTCCATTATCGGGTACTGATAAGAGCAAGATACAGGCTCCATTGTTACCCCAATTTTTCAATTCCTATTGAGAGAATCATATCATGTTACCAAGTGAGCAGTTCGTGCCAGGAAAACAACACTCTCCGGTCGTCCATTTGGAATAATAAGCTATGAAATTCACAACTTGGGTAGGAAAAGCAGAGGTAAGATGAGCTCATGAGAGCATGAATTAAAACCTCTCAGCACTGCTGAGCACTGTGAACGTTAGCACAATGCTGCTTCTCGGGCGAGACATGCCTGTTCATGAGATGTGTGCTTTTGTGCTGAAACAGTCACAGCAGCAACACACCACTGCTTTTCTTCACAGCTTCCCAGAACACAGTCAGCTGATTCCCAATGACTTCAAAGCTCACCTGTAATTATACTACAGTGCAGAACCAGACATCTGTTGGGTTATCTCCCTTTCAGGTGCAGTATAGCCAATGGCTCTCTAATACTTTGTTCAGTGTTATCTAAACTATCTCTGATAGAGGAACTTTTACCATCCCTCTCCCTTGGAAGATTAGGGCTTCTCTGCCACTCTTGGTGTTAGGTGCTGTGGTTCCCTGGGAAAGGTAGCAAGGCTTTGCCCTGTCCCTTGTTCTGAGCAAGCCATGATTCACTGTGTAAACAATACAGCCCAATAAACACTCAGACACGGGCTTGACTTTTGCCCCGCGCCTCCTGGATTCTCTCTAGGCAGCTGCTGGGCACGGGGCAGAGTTACTGCCAGCACTACCCTTGCCCCCAAATGTGCATGCACTTCAGATGTGTACCATGATAAGGCAAGATTATCAACAAATAAGGATCTGCTGGGATGAGAGGATTATCCTCATGAAGGCCATGATACAAGGCAGTCTTTTTGGCTAAAGATCTCACTTTCCTGCACTTGCAGTGGGTACAGGCGACCTATAATCGCCCCTCTGCGCCCTGCAGGCACTGTGGCCGGCCATGCCATAATCCCACAGGGTTTCATCATCGGGAAAGTCTCCTGACATTGAGGCTGTTTTCTTCGCCTTCGCAATGCTTCCCTACCTGGCTTAAATGTGTTGCCAATTCTTATGATTTTATCACAACTGTCCCACTTTTTTTTTTTTTCTTTTTTAATTAAAATTTCAGTTCCCAAAGGCAACCAATTATGCAGGAATCTCAAGTTTCATTTCAAAAAAATGTTTCCAGACCTCAGAAATGCTAAGAAAAAGTTTGAAAAAGAAAAAAAGATCTAAAGGTTAAAAGATAAAACAACAAAACAAACAAACAAACAAAAAAGAATTTTCCTGATTAGAAACAACAAACCCAACTTTAGTCTAAAGTGTTATTTATTTATTTATTTATTTATTTATTTATTTATTTATTTATTTATTTTTAATTACTTTTACCTTCTTTTTCCACCTGGAAGGAATAGGGCTGAAGAATGAAGCTTGAGTCAGTTTTGACTGTCTGGGACTACTAACACTGAATTTTACAGTTAAGATGACAAATAAAATCAGATTAGTATAAAGAGGTCAAAATCTCATATGCAAGGAGGAAGGATAATTATAAAACCTGTTTATTGTTCTAATCCCTGTTATGAATGTCTCAGATTAATTGAAATTTAATTCTGTTTTGGTTTTGCTATTGTTTTCACAGCACTAAGAGAACATCAGACACTTTACAAAAACTGCAGGCTGACTTAACTGAAATACAAATACATTACCTTTATATGAGGGATGGAAGCTGAGTGTTCTTTAATTATGTTCTCTGACTGGTCCCAGACTGTACCTTTCGCTAAGCTGAATAGCATTAAAGACACAAAATGCATGCTTTGTGGAGTACTGGCACCAGAGGAAGACAGAAGGATTCAGTTCAACAATAGCTTTCCTGTTCCTACAGGACAGCTAGTGTCTTGGCTAGCAAAATGCTTAAATATCACCAGTTCCTTGCACGTGTCTTTGCTTCATTACAACCATGCAAGATCTCACACAAATGCATCGCTCCAATTACCTCCTCTGATGGAGTCTTTCAAAGAATTTATTTATTGCTGCCCTGGAAGGGCACTTCTTCAGGTGAGAACACCATTACAAAAGGCACCATATAAATGAACACTGCAAAAACATACTGGCCAGAGAGGACTTGAAGTTTGCAGCCAAGAATTCAGGCAGTGATATCCCAGGTGAGAAAGTGGACAAACAGGACTAGGTGGAGAGAGTAAGGCTGCAGACTGGTCTAGACATAGCAGAGTGGCCACTAAGGAGTTTGGAATTTTATTTATTTATGTATTTATTTAACAACATCCACTGAAGTGGCACATTTGAAAAACACCATATGACATGAGCCCTTCAGCTCTGTAGCAATGCAATGCAATGCATGACTCCAATGTACAATACCGGAGAGAACAAAGGCAAAGATGATCTGATCAGAATTAGGCTCTCAAAGGGAGACTCGGTCAAGGCGAATTCTCATCCAAGAGCTTCCCGACTGAGGTGCAATTAAAACTGCAGTGTTGCATTTACTTGGAGGGGGGAAGGTGTGCTTTTGGTATTCAATTTCCTTGTTAAGCAGCCACATACTAGTATGTGAATGCCAGACATTTAATCACAAAGGTATGTGGAAAGCATGCGACATCCACATTCCCACAATCCTTGATGCAATTTTTGTTTGTTTGTTTGTTTGCTTGTTTTCTTCTCCAATCTATGCAGTTTTAAGGAAAAAAAAAAAAAAAAAAAAAAGGCAATGAAAGAAGCCAGAGTCCAGACCATTGTTTGCTCCAGTTGCCCTGATAGGACTGCCCTGACCCGACAGCACTGGAGCCCCTGGAAAGCTGTGTGTGCCTGGAAGCCACATTTTGCTGAAATGTCTCCTTCGCACTCTGCATGACAGACACAGTACGAGCTCTGCAAAGCCCTTGGGCAGCCCTGAAATCTAGGCAAGGGCAAGGGGACCCTTCTTGAAGCTCAGGGTCTGCACCAAGCACCACTCAAAATTCAGGAGAACCTCCAGTTCTGTGTAAAAAGAGCAATTTTAATTGAATTTAATAAAAGATTATCCCGGAGCGGATAGGATTTCCCTTCACAATGACGATGGTTTTGGTCTCTGGGGCCCTGGACGAGCTCTGGGCCCCATGGTGACAGCGCCAGGCCCGGCTCCAGGCCCTGCTCCCGCCCCACCGCCGGGCCGGCGGCACCCCCTGGCGGCCTCGCTGGAAAAGGACCTGCAAAGAACTGGGAAACTCATAAAAATGACAGCTGCAGGCTACTTTCCCATGTGGTGGAGCTGTAGAGCTCTGGCTCTGCACAAGAGAAGGCTTTCAGCTGCATGTTAGGGTGGGCCACAAGCGTGAGCAGGGGGTTGTTGCTGCGTGGTCATTTAGTTCTTCTGCAGTGACCAGGGTGGGTCTTTCGCTGCAGGGGAACAAGTCAAGACAGCTTTCATGGTTGTCCAAATTAGCACGTGGAGATAAAACCTGTCTGCGGCGTCACTGCTGCTGTGAAGGGTCTCTCATGGTGCAAGAATGGAGAGACATAATGAGAAGTGATGAACCCAAAATAGCAGACTGCAAACAACCACACCAGTCAGAAAAGAATCAAACTTCTGTAAGTCTTACTATCTAAAGTATATGGTCAGTTATGCTTGATAAAGTCTGTAAGGTCTGTAACCTTTCAGCACTTATAGGTCAAATAGCACCCTTGTTTATGAATCACAGCTGTGGGCAATGGCTTAATTCCTCTGTTCCAGACCTTGTCAAGATGAAATCATTGCGGTTTCTTGTTCTAGTCTTCTATGTTCTCTGCATGCTTCACAGCTGCCCTGTTATGTGTACACATCTTTTTCCAGTTCCTCTCTCCTTTATTGCATCTCCCTTTTGATTTACCTGCTGCTTCTCTGCACAACCACCTCATACATAACTTTGTTCCCCTTGAACGTTTCTCCTGGCCTCCAGGAAAAAAAAATGTTACTTGCCTTTCTGCCTCTCTCTACCATCACTACATCGCTTAGTTTCTAATTCCTCAGTCTCTCCTACTCACCCTGCAATGCTTGTGGAATTGCAATACATAGGACATAAGTTATTTAATTCTGAGGCAAAGTGTACTTTACAGTTTAAGACATCAGAAGACCAGATTTTAGTCAGATGAGGGCAGTGTTACAAAACATGTTGGTTCCCGGTTCCACACATTACTGCTTGTTCTCCCAGTATAATTAAAAAAAAAATATCTGTTTTACAGCAGGGCCACAGTGACATTTCTCCAGAGGCAGCAAGTGCTGTGGTAGGGGAGAGAGCAGCCAAGGACAGGAAAAGAGTCCTCAAGCAGAACTTGCCTGCCAAAGGCAACATGTTGCTGCAGCCCAAGATTTCTGCACTTTTTTTTTTAAACCTGAAATTTTAAATTAGAATGATTTGGCCCCTGTGCATTAGAGTTATTTTGTACATATATCACTCTTTTATCTTACTCTCTAGCCCCTTTCTCTTACTTCTCCCAAACAAGTTGCCACAAATCCTTTGACCTACCATAGAACGGTAATTTCTTTCTTTATGACAACATGACAAATGGCAAGGATGACAATTCCTGCTTTAGGATAAAGGCAGATGCCAGTCTCTAGCATATGATAAATCTAACAAATATTTTATGTGCTTACCTGGGGAGGGGATGGATTAGGTCAATGGAAAGCCCCTTTGTCTAAACTAACTGAAAGCAGTGTTTGCCAGGGTAGAAGTAAAGTTATGTACATATCCAGGGGCATTTCTTTTTGAAAAAGCCCATTTAGATAGAGTTCATATTCAGTGCAGTAAGCTGAGAAGCAGTTGTGGAATTCCCAATAGTGGTTATATAAAAGTTGTGACTAATCATGTGGGGAACATTATTCTTTCCCAGTTTGATTCAGGCTGTGGATCTTTAATTCTGCCAGCCTGATTATCCAGTATCTCCCAGTTACACAAATAATGAAAAAAATACTGACAACTCTTCCCCAAAATAATAGGTAACTGGAATACAAAATAAGGAGAATGCTTACATGCAGCTAGCATTTCATGCAACAGACTATGGGCTGGATTAGCAGGGGCCATGGCTGAAGAAGGATCACGTAGATGACTGGAGGTGTACAGGCTGAGGCTGTGTGTCAGGGCTTCACCATAGGCTGGAGAGGAGGCCTTAATCTGAATCTTCACGTACCTGTGTACACAGGGCCTGAAGCTCATTTCAGTAACTGTCCAAAATCACTGCTAAATGTCTTGATGAGGCACAGGTTTTCAGAGAAACGGCTGATTTAGGCAATTCTTTGTGGAGCTGGATCTTAAAAGTTGGGGATATTTTGCCTGTCTACTTCCAGATGTGTCCACAGAGCGCTTCACAACCCCCTACAATGTAATTAAGTGTAGGGCACGAAAAACTTTGTGTTACAAAATAGTAGAGACTTGCTCAGGTTTATAGAGTAGCTCAGTGGCAGAGAGTACAGTGAAGATGAGGCTCCTTGTTGCGGTCAGGCAAAACAGAAGGGCAGAGAATGGCTTTCCATCAACTATTGGGAGCATTTGGTATCTACGTAGCCTATTAAATGGCATTCCTTGCACCAATAATTATTAATTAGGTTGGTATGGCACGATTAGCTGATTTAATAAATAGCTGGGCTGCTTAGATAAAGCCCTTGCTCTTCCTCTTCCTACATATTGCCTCATGCCTAACCATGTGCTTCAAAAGGCAGTCCCAAGCCAAGGAAACAATTGGTGGTTGAGTTTTTAGAAGCCATTAGATCAGTTTAGATTAACGTTAAACTTCAACTCAGTGTACTTTTTCTTACAGCATAGCAGCTACCTAATGCTATTCCCCTGGAACTCAAATACCTTAAATTATAAAATGTATATGATTAATACTAACACAAATAAAAAATGAAATAACAACATAATTATTACCCAGAGGAATTCTTACCTAATAGCTTACCCAAAGGGAGAAAGTGGTATCTGTAAATTACAAACAGGCAATTGATTTACAATATCTCCTCTGTGAAATACGGGATTAAGATCATTTCTCAATCATTTGTCAGATAATGGCCTGTTGGCACTCATGATACCTCCGAAGGCTGCTCAGCTCCTCGGTAGTTGCTAGGGAACATTGCTGCAGCTTAAAGGAGTGTAGCCATGCCCATTGTTCTGCTGTCATTTACCTGCTACAGTGACATCATTTGGGGTTTATAAACATTTATTTAATTTGTGTGCTTTCAAGGGACCAATTGTTGCTTGAAGCCTCTTTAGTCTGCAGGTTACTCTCGGGATGTATACACCAGACAAATAAAAATGAACCTATTTCAGATGTGAAACTGTAAAGTCATGCTGACAATACATACATAGACATAATTCAGGAGTGGTTGCTAGAAATCATAATTTCCCCAGAAGTTACCTCAAAGAAATTCAATGACACTACCTGTGCAAAACACTGAAAACTGCTCTCAAGGATTGGCTGTCCAAGCCAGTTTTCAATCCTGCCTGCTGTAGTAGTTTTATCAAGATCAAAATATTTCACTAGCTTACTTACAGAAATGTAATCCAAGAAATTATTATGCAAACATGAAATGAATCTGTCACCAAAAATCAATGCTCTGTCTCTGTAACCCTAAAACAGAATGTTATCTTTAAAAATGAAGAAAATTGTATTATTGAAAACTGAATTCAAAACCATTATTTATTTTAAAATGCCAAAAAGGGGGGAATCAGCCCCAAATTCAGGTATTTTAAGCTCATGTTACTGACTACGACTCCACTGTATAATCAGCAGTGGCTGGAAGGCAATTCATCTCATGCTAATGTAGAAACTTTGCTCACACAAGGTCATCTACATGGCAGAAACCTAAATTTAGACATCTGTATTTGGAACCAAGTCATACCCTTGTCTGTCTATCTCTGTCTACCTTCTCTCAACAAAGGCTGTTCCCCAGTCACAGAAGGAAATTAGACAGATTTGTCACATAGAAGATTCTCTCAGCTTTTCCGAACAAAAAGGTGGGATTCTCCTTCCTATCCAATCCTATTCACTCAGAAAGCCAGGCAAACTAAGCCTACAGCCAGAAAAAGCACAAAACCAGCCACAGAAACACCACAACCTGACCTGCCGTTATTTATATGCGCAGCACCCTCATTGTTCTCAGTGAAGACCCTTCCTTTTGTTCAAATCTGGAGAAATCTCAAATGCAGGTGCAAGGTGATGTGTGGGAGGGGCAGGGGAAGTGGGGCAGTGGAGAAATGTAAATCCCCAATTAACCGTCTTCTCTGATTACTAGCTACTGGGAAAGGGGAGAAGGGGGAGAGAAGAGGCTGTGTAGGTTGAAAGAGGAAGCAGGATTTATCACCTCATCTGGGATTTAATTCCATTAACCATTAACGAAGGGGAGAATCCAGGTGCTTCCCTCAGCTGTAGGAGCTCTCTAAAGTCACAGAAATAGGGAAAATGTAGGTCCCAACACGGTTATGTCTCCAAAATGAATGGATATGGCTCCATACTCACCTGAGGAAAAGAATAGTATTATGAAATGTTATAGCTTTCTTTTTCCCCTCCCCTTTAATATTTATCTATTATTATATTTAATATTGGCAGTTATTTTTACAGGTAACCTATTGTTTAAGACAGCAGGTTTTACTCATTATCCTGGTTCAAACATGGTTAACCATGCCACTTGTTCTCCCAGCTGTGACCAGAAAATTGAACACTGAAGAAGGAATGGGAAAACAGTGGAGCAGATCCAAAAAGGCTGCTGCCAACAGTACAAATACACATGATAAATTATGACAAGATGTCACTAAGCTGTTTTTACCCATTCTCCCACATGTTGATTTAGATTGGAGTACAGGGGAAAACAATACTTGATGGATATTCCATTCTCTTGAGACAGATAATTGCCTGTAGAGCATTTCTGGATGAGAGGTGCTGATGCTCAATGACTGCTTGTTGGCAGATTGGCTGTGTTGGGGCTGTGCAAAGTGCATAGCACAGGTTTGTGTAACATGCACATAGTGATGGCTGTGTACATTGTCAAGCCAAACAAAGCCAAATTTCTTTGGTCTGTCTTTTTCCTCTCCTTTACTAGAAGACCTAGCTGATATTTATTTGTATAAAATATAATCTGGCCTCCCCATCTTGGTGTCTGAGTGGCGTACTTGTGTTTATTCTCACAAAACTGAGCAGGCTGCTACTGTCTACTGACATTTAACATCTGAGAGAAGGAAGTCAAGAAAAAATAAGTTCAATTCTCCTTGTAGAGCCAAAGTACCCAAATTCATTGAAGCCTGTCCAACCCCCTGTCAGCTGCCAGCTGCCCTGGTACTTCTCAGCTGTGTTACCTGGAGCCTTTGGTCATGCCCAGCTGCAGAGGTGCTGTGAGATGGGCCACAGGTTGGGAAACATAAGCTGGGACATGGACAAGGAAAAAGACTTCAATTCCCCTCTAATCAGATCCGTGGCTGTGGCTGAAAGGTGACTTCCCTATGCCAGGATGGTGATCAGATTATTCCATATGTATGAAGGTTGTCTGCCTTAGGGACATCTTCACCCTTGGAGCCAGTGTTTCCTTTGATTCCTGCAGGATCCAGAAGAGTCCAGTTATATCTACATCCTTTTCCTTGTCTTCTCTTAAAACGAAGACAAGTGGTGAGGAGAAAAGAAAGCTCAGGTCCTACCCCCCCATGAAGGAGTACCTTGGCACACACAGAGATGCCTAGGGATGTCTCCAGATATACAGCTTCATGTTTTCCGCTTATATTTCTGCAGTCCACTCGAATGCATTATCTCCTTTTGGTAACTATTTCCATGAGCCCTTTGTTTAAAATGCTTATTGTATGTAAAATTTGTTCTGTGTAACTTGAACTCTGTGAGTGCCACAGCCTAGCACGTGATGGGCACATTGTCTCGGCTGCATGCCAGAGCGGAACAGAGTTGTGCAACTACTAATTATAAGATTATAAAATAATAACACCCTAGAAGCTCAACAGCCCAAAGGTAATATTAGCTATTCAAAGTTTTGGCTTTATGAGGCACCAAAGGGCACCTTCAACTCAGAACATTCAGCTGTATGTTCAACTGCCAATATCCTTTATCTTGTTATGGCAATTCCTTAGGAAAAAAAAAAATAGGAATCACTTGGAGTCAAAAGCTGGAGTCACTTTTTCCCTGCAGCAGCCCACACAGTGCTGTGCTCTGCACTCGTAGCTGGAACAGCACTGGTATCACTCCAGTGTTGTGTCTATTGCTGCATAGTGCTGGCACAGCATCAGGACTCCTTCCAAGCCCCCAGGAGCCAGCAGGCTGGGGGTGGGCAAGTGATGGGGAGGGGACATTGCCAGGGCAGCTGACCTAAACCAACCAAAGGGATATTCCATAACACCTGATGTCACACTCAGCAATAAAAGGGGGGCTCTCGTGGGGGAGGGGGCTGTTCCTCCTGAACAACCACTACGTGTTTTGAGGCCCTGCTTCCCAGGGCATGGCCGAACATCGCTCGCTGATGGGAAGTAGAGAATAATTTTTCTCTCTCTCTGTGCTTCCGCGCAGACTTATTGTTTCTTTTGTTTCTTTTTTCCTCCCCATTCTCGTTCCCTTTAATTAAACCTTTCTCATCTCAAACCTTGAGTTCTCTGTGTTGTAGTTTCTCCCCCTTCCTCTTTGAGGAGAGGGGGAGTGAGAGAGTGGTTGTGGTGGAGCTCGGCTGCCCACCTGAGTAAAACCAGCACACAGAGTATGACCAGTCTCATGGTGATAGTTTTTTATTAGTATTTAATCAGGTTTTCCCATGTTTCAACCTTGTCCTGTCACTCTGCACTTCTGAGGAAGGCCTGGCTTCATCTTCTCTGCAATCTTTCATTAGGTCAGTCCAAACAGTTCCCCTTGAGCTGCTTCTTGTCCAGCCTGAACAGTCCCAGCTCACTTTGTCTCTCCTTGTACATGTCCTTGCGCTCCAGGCCCCAACCATCTTGATGGCCCTTTGGTGGACTTGCTCCTTCTATAAGTCTGTGTCTTTCTTATACAGGGGGGTACCAGACTGCTCACAGCACTCAAGATGTGGCCTTATGAGAGCTGAGTGGCTGGCTACCCCTTGACAAGGTCTCTCTCAATAGGGCAGCCCTGCCCTCCATCATATCAACTGCTCTCCCAGTAGAAACTTCCAGTGCCCTTTAATCCCATTTCTTAGGTTATTAATAACGGCATAAAACTGAATTGGTGCTAGTATTGGTCCCTGAGGAACACTGCTAGTAACTGGTCACCAGTTGGACTTCGTACCATCGACTGATTACAAACAATCCTCTGAGGCTAGCAGCACAGGTAATTTCCCACACGCCTTGCCATCCACATATCTTGTCCATATCTCATCAGTTTTGCAATAAAGATATTGAAGAAAACAAGTTTAAAGGCCTTACTTAAGTCTATGAATACAGCATCCACTTCTCACTCTTCATCCACAGAGCTAGTCATATCGCCATCGAAAGCATTCAGGCTGGAAGGGCACAATTTGCCCTTGGTAAATCCATATTCCCAATCAACTTCTTGTCCTTCCTATGCTTGGAAATGCCTCTATCAGTTTCCCAGGGACTGAGGCAGGGCTGACCAGCCTCTAGCTCCCCACATCCTCCTTCTTGCCCTTTTTGAGGATGGGTGTGACATTTGCATTTTTCCAGTCATTGGGAACCTCCACCATGACCAACGATGGAGAGTGGCTTTGCAGTGGCATCAGCTAGGTCCCCTGCATGCCTCCCATCTGTTTCCATGGACTTATCTATGGCTAATCAGCTGGAGCTCTCACTGCTAACTCCATCTGCCTCAACAGTGTGTATGGATGCACTCCCACGGCCTCTGCCAGGAAGCTCGGGCACCTCAGAGGCCTGACGGCAAACCTTATCAGTGATAAACAACGGAAAAAGGGCACTGAGTATGTCAGCCTTTTTTATCCTTAGTCACTGTCCCCAGCCTCACTGAACAGCAGGCCTGCGTTTTTCTTAGCTCTCATTCTTCTGTGGATGAACTTACAGAAACATCTCTTGTTGCCCTTCACATCCTTTACTAGGTTCACCTCCAGCTGAGCTTTGGTTTTCCTAACCCCATCCCTGTGTGCTCAAGCAGTGCTTCTGTACACCTCCCAGGTAGCCCCTCCCTGCTCTCTCTTTGAATTGGGAGCACTATACAAATATTTAGAGCTTTAGACTGTTTTACACAAACATCCCACTGCAGGTTCGTACAGTCAATAATAGATCTTTTTTGTCTTCAATTAATTTTAAAGTGAAGAAGTTTTCTGATTTTCCCATTCAATTTTTGATTACATACCAGATTAATTTTATGGTTATTAATTTTCTGTTATTTCTAGCTTATGTCTTTTTTTTTTTTTTTTCTAAGACTCTTAATATCACCTTCCCCTGATTTGTCCTGACACCGCCTTTGACTTTACAATTCCTTGAAATTTTATTAAAGCAACATCCATATATTCCCTTGGATCTATGTTGAGCTAGTGTAATTGTGAGGAACTGAAAAAAATGTATGTCTGTCATGATCCGACTGAATCCTTAAGTAACTGCACTGCCTTTGTTTGGTTACACCTGGGGTTAGTTTCATCCAGTTCCTAACAATATGAATTTACTCCATTTAGCTGGATACATCGGTATTATTAGATACATGTTTTTAAAAGCTTGTAATGCCATCCAATCTGGTAAGTCTTTACGAGTTGCATGTTACTATATAGTAAGGGGACAAGGCATAGCAGTCTGTATTTTGCAGCACAGAATGCATCAGGTTAACAAAGGAAATTTTCCTCATTCTTCCTTTTAAACCAAAAAGAATACTGCGTGATTATACCACTTCTCTCTTACTTGGAGTTAATGACATGACTAACAGATTTGACTAAGTTTCATGGGGAAAAATCCAAGTGGGTGGCAACTCATAATCTGATTTTTAGGTGGGACAAGCCATCCCCATGTCCACTGATATCCCCCAATCCCATTTTGCTGTTCTCTCCCACACCCATAAACTAAAGCAAGCTCTCCTTCCAATATTGCCTAGAATTGTGATTATTCTGACTCTTGTGATTCATTCAGTTTACCTATGTAATAGTATGTGCATGCATTTAAAATGTAAATGTATTAATCTTATTAAAAATATTGCTTGATAATATAAGGGCTTATAGCCAAAACCAAGAAACTGCAGCAACAGGAATGGTAATTTACACTGTTCTCTATACATACAGTTAAATTTTCAAATAACAATAAGTGGTGTGTATAACAATGAAAGTAAATCTAAGTAATGAATAAGAAAATCCACACCTCTTGACGTTACTGTGATCATAAATGTCTACTTATTGTCAGCAGTTAGGTGGAGGCAAAACCAATTACTTTAATCTTTTCAATTTCCTTTAGTGGAAGGCAACCTTTAGCCAGATATACAGTAGAACTATATGTACCTTTTTTCACCTTTACTGCAGGAAAGCTCTTTCACTGGGTAATATTGAACAACTACAATAGCATCACATTTTTCACTAAACCCACATACTTTTATTCTTTGAAGGCATACATCTGTCTATGTATCTATTTATTTATCTATGTAGGAGTCAAACATGCAAACCTTCACTCTCATTTTCTCCTTCTCCAAATTTAACAAAAACATTTTTCTTCACTTTTTTTTTTTTTTTTCTTTTAATAACTTTTCAGTTTCTACTCCCATTGAGTCCTTTTCGAAAACCTTTTTTACCTCAGGTAAATCTTGGTATTGACAACTCGGTCGATCAAAAAATAAATTTTAGACAGAATAACAAACAAACAAACAAAAACCAGAGAAAAGCCCATGGTTTCTATTTCAGTTTTTAGGAGCAATCTAAATTCTATCAAAAAGATTGTCTCCCAGCTGCCTGACTGTGTTTTGGATTACAGGGAAAAATGTGATTTTCTGAAAATCCAATTTCTTAGAGCTGAATCAATTTTAATAATTTTGGCCAGAAAACAAGGGGAGGTGGGAAAGGATTAATGAAATAGAAGTTCTTAATTTAGCAAATTATATTTTTCCACATAACAGCTGTCCAAGCTTTTTTTTTTTCTATTTTTTTTTTTAAAGAATACTTAGATTTCATAAATAGCTTGACTTTTTTTTTTTCTTTTTTCTTTTTTCTTTTTTTCTTTTTTTTTTCCTGGTTTTAATTAAGCTTCTTTACATACACAAACATCTTCCATCCACAAATATATATATATATATATATATAAAACCTTAAATGTACAGCTCTGCTTTGGATCATGCCCTCACACAGTCATTCTTTGTGCCTTCCGCAATGATTTTGGTTTGAGGACTCTTTGGACTTTTGCTTATGTTCATAACAAGAAGTACAGTGGCCACACAGTTTCTGTCTTCCACATACACATAGCTTAACGTAGCGTGGAGCAGCACCGTGACAGTACCATGCTCAATAGGTCTAGCAGCTCCAGTCACAGGAATGTCTGGGATCTTATCTACACTGGAGGAAAAATGCATGGGGTTAGAAAGCAAAGGTGTCTCCAGGCTCACTTTATTGCCCTCTGCATTCCCCACCCACCACAGAAACAGCTTGCCCTGCAGCAAGGGCTGGCCGCATCCAGCACACCTCAGGGGCAGTGCCCCCAGCAAGGGGCCCTCGGCTCAGGGCCTGTTTGCTTTGGGAAATTTCAGTTCTTCCAGCTGATAGCCAGAGCCACGTCACAGGTATTAACTGTACTTCACCTGTGTTGCAATCAAGGGCAAAAATGCTGCTTTGCAATCTCAGCCTTGTGCTTTTAAGCAAGATGTTCCATCAGATTAGCTGCAGCAGGAAACAGGTGGATATAAACCACA